ACACCTTTTGTCAAATCAAGTAGAGAAAATGGACACTATCCAAAGTTGAGATATTAGAAATGAAATTGACCATTGCCCTTGTACACACACATCTGTTGGATATGCTTGTGGAGACAACACGCAGAGGGTGGGAATGTTACAATCAGTGGTATTCCCTGTCTATTCCAGTGCTCGTGAGCCGATAAGGGTGAAGTACATGATTTCCCTATCCGATTCACATTTCTTACACATTTTATCACAGTCTTAATGATTACCGTACTGTAGTTGGAAAATGTTGTCACGAAGCGAGGTTAGATGGCAGAGCTTAACTCCTGTTTTGGGTGTCTAAGCGTTTCATAAGGCTAATTTCCACATCAAGGTATTAAACCGGAGTGTCGTTTTGATCCTGGTGAAAGCCCTCGTCATGAGGTGCAAGTCAATCGCTGACACACTTAAACCACGAGCCCAATACCCAGCAGCTGTGGATCCACAAGCCACGGCGTTAAGTGTGAAGGACCAGGAGGTTTGATAATTGTTTTTTTACCCTTTTATCTGGCAACAAAACTGACACCGTTTTTTACAAGAAGTCATGTTTGCATAGACCACAATACCTGCAGTCATAATGCAAACAAAAAACATAACTCTCATAATGTATGCACTGTCCTTGAAGTTGATTAGTCCACACCCGAGACAGCTTTCCTTAGAACCTAGTCTCACATGGTGTTGGACCAGATGACGCCAAAAGGCGCACAACTCAAAGACAATGCACCATCAGAGTATGAGAGCTTGGGGTAAGCGTTTAAAAATAAGGTGTCAGTTTTGTTGCCAGATAAAAGGGTAAAAAAACAATTAACATATTTTTCTACTGGCAAATGAGGTTCCAATGGTGACCAGGAGGTTGTTGCAAATCAAAGGGCGTAAACACGATGCGCCTTAGATGGGAAATGAACGAGTCCAGGTTGTGACCGTGGCGCGACATCTCAGACCGTGCAACACATCGTCAACGACTGCCCCAATCAGATCATTCAATGACGATCTGAAACATATCCACACGGCTACTCCTGAAAGCAGTCGAGTGGATATGAAATCTCGACATCAATTTTTCATCTGTTGCAATCCACAACAATGCCATACCAAAGAATAAGAAGTGGCAATCTTTTCCCATGGAGAGTTAACAGTAATTACAGAGGAGTGGTATTCTTAGTTTTTTGTTATGGGAGGAGTGGGACACTTGGTTTCTCTGGGAATTAAACATTTTGTGTTTTAGGATCCATGAGCGCAGTGCTTCAAATAGAATTGCCCAGATAACATTCAAGCTCTCAAATAGATACAAATGCATATTCCAACCGGGATCCATCCATGATGATGTAAAAAGCAGACCAAATGTTAAAGCACGTAACTTTTTACAGCCACTTGCAATCTCGTTGCGTTTGTGTGATGAAGATTTCTTCTCTTTCTTGTCCCAAGTTTCTACGTGCCCCACAGCACGTGCAACACACAGCCTGAACGCTCCGCACGCAGCCGCTGCCCAAACCCGGAAAACCACACTTACACCAAATATATTAGAGCATTAAATTATGGCAAAGGCCTCGACACCATCACGATGGCAGACTTCGATGCAAAGGTAGGTAAAAGGAGCAGAGATGAGAGAATGACGGGTAACGCTTGCGTTTTGAGAGAAAAACGAAAGAGGAGAGAGTCTAATGGAGTTTGCACCCAGCAGAAATTAAGACATCTTTCAAAAATAAGTGTAGGTTATGTACACGTCAAAATGGAGATACTGTATTAGAAATTAAACTAACTTTATTCTCACTACCCCAAAACGACCGAGTTGTCTCCGCCCTCATCAAATTCAACACCAGAAGTGATCGCAGATAAAACTTAGACTGATTTTAAGGAAAAGGTTCCATTTCGTAGAAAAGCGAAAAGAATTAACGTGACCACTACAAATATTTAAATAAATATAATTGTAATAGACTAAACATTGAAAGTGGGGAGATGTAACAACCAACCAGAACAAGTTATCTGAAAGAAAAAAAAAAGCATAAGGAAAGTGTAAAAAAAATGTCAAAAAAAACTAGAACACACAACACTATAAACCCGTTTAAAAAATTAGAAGATAAACAACATTAAAGTGATGCAAGATGTCATAAACAATTGCAGCAAGAAAGCAGCACAAACACAACATTGATGATTGGTAAATCGCAGTTGGTAGCCCTTAGAGCAAGATGAAACATTAATGTAACGTTAAAAATGTTTTGCAAACATATCCCAGGAGCCAAACCATAAACACTGCCCTTCATAGTGTGCAACAGGTAAAGCCCTTGGACCAGATGGAATAAGTGTGACATCATCAAAGAATAGAGACCAACTATTTAAACAAAAATGTTTATGCAGAAATAAAAACAAACCATCAATCCTGGAATACTAAAGTCCTGCATTTACAAAGGAAAACTGATTTGAAAAGGTAGACCGATTAGCCTCCAATACAATTTTAAATTGTTCACAAATATCTTAGGGAACTGCATCTTGGACCATTAGGAGGCCAACCCACTGTGTGAACAAGTAGGATTAAGGAAAGGTTTTTTTTATTCATTAACCACATACTGTGAATCAGATCCTAGAAGACAAATTAATTTCAGGCTTGGCTTTGGAGATTGCAAAAAAAGTGTTTCAGTGGAAACTGATGCAGTCATCCACGTCCCCATACATGAATAAAAAAATACAATCTAGATAACCGTTATAAACCATGAAGAGGTGTAAAAGCTATATTGAGACTGTACAACTACTCCAATTTAAACAAGGGGACACACTGTCACCAAGCCTCTTAGAGTGACTTTGAAGATATGTAAAAAGAAAATGTATTGTAGAAATAAAGACATAAATATAAATTGGCAAATCATAAACTATCTCGGATTTTTTTACGGCAAAGTAAACATAACAACCAATGGAAATGAGCGATAGGAAATTATTTAATAATTTAGGAAAGGGCTCTAGATAAATGAGCAAAACAAATGTACAACAAATTATATAACCCAAAATGTTGTTCGGACACAGCTGCAAAACAGCAGACCATTTGTATGCCTCGGGTAATTACTGAAATCGGATTAGGATAAAAATAATGAAAATGCAAATATCAGGATGGAGTGGTTTTGGAAAACTCGCCTGAAAAAAGTTTTAAAGCAGAAACACGGGTTAAATAATTTATTTTCTTTCTACGTGACTTTAGGGCCGTCCATAAATGACGTCACGCGGTTTTCGCCGATTTTTTACCCTCTCCCCCTCGTCACACGGCGTCACAAAAAGTCAGACCCCCCTCAAATATGACGTCACAAAGCTCTGCCCATATTTCCATTTTGAAAATAAAACATGCTTCAAATCACTTTAAACTATTGTCATTGTAGTGCGTATTTAATGTGGCGCTGCACAGTTGTCATTGTTGTATAATGTAGCCAAGTCTGACAACGCAGGCGAAACCCACCCACGCCAATTCGGTAAGGACAGGTGCTTGTTAATCCACTGCTGGATGAGGGCCTCCCCACACCGCAGGGGTCGTAGGGGTCAGTGACCATACTTCACCACGCTGGTTCAGTGTGGGTTGGTGGACGTGGTGGTGGGTGGGTGGGATGTCTTAGGGGAGCACAGAAGTGCAGTACAACATTTTGGTGCACTGCCTTTGCAGCCCAATCCATGACTGTATAATACAGCAAAATGGCAATGCGATTTAAGGAGAAAGATGGAACCGTTAACTCGTGGTAAGGAATGAACGTGTGAAATTAGTAGTCATTGTTAGGCAGTAGACTTAACCATGGCCGATGATGAACGAAGGACAATCACAATTCCGTTAAAAGGAACGCAGCCTGCAATGGGGTGGACAACGCGTCTCGAGTGAGATAGGGCACAACGCATGTCCATATGATGACGGAGCGTCGTGCCCTGGGTATTGAGTTTAATTTTATTTTCATTTCGCACACAAAGCGGCCACAAGGCGGGACCTTGCCCAAGTCTCGCGAGAACACAACAGCGAAACTAATGCGCAAAGCCGGCTGTGAAACCTCGCGAGATCTCGCCTGCGGTAGGTTGGGGAAGGGGGAGGGGTGGGTTGAGGGGGAGGGGCGTGCGCGTCACAGCGCCCCCGCGGTCACGTGCGTGCCCGCTCACTCCCACCAGCTCAGCGCGCGAGCCAACAGCGCGCGATCCGATTGGTCCAAGCGGCTGATGCTGACGCCACGCCTCCACTCCACCGCCCCCCCACCCGCTTCCAACGCACCCGCCCCCCCCCATTTTGCTCCCCCCTACCCCCCCCCAAACACACACCAATGCGCACTAGGAAGTATGAAACCGGGTTTGACCGGAGTGGGCTGAGTGTGTGGGGGCATTGAGGGTGGGTGGGGGGGATGCGACTGCTTGGTGGGGGTGGAGCTAGCCAGGCTGAGGCTGCTGCTGCTGGGCACGTGGGCAGAGCTTAAGATGGGGGGGGGGGGGGGGTGATAGGGGGCGGGGCGTTTCGCGTCTGTTAGAAACGTGGGCGGAGCTAAGGTGTGGAAGGGGGATTGGTGGGTGGGGGGGGATTGGTGGGTGGGGGGGGATTGGTGGGTGGGGGGGGATTGGTGGGTGGGGGGGATTGGTGGGGGGGGATTGGTGGGGGGGGATTGGTGGGGGGATTGGTGGGTGGGGATTGGGGGTGGGGGGGGGATTGGGGGTGGGGGGGGGATTGGGGGGTGGGGGGGATTGGGGGGTGGGGGGGGGATTGGGGGGTGGGGGGGGGATTGGGGGGTGGGGGGGGGATTGGGGGGTGGGGGGGGGGATTGGGGGGTGGGGGGGGGATTGGGGGGTGGGGGGGGGATTGGGGGGTGGGGGGGGGATTGGGGGGTGGGGGGGGGATTGGGGGGTGGGGGGGGGGATTGGGGGGTGGGGGGGGATTGGAGAGAGTTTAGGGGGGGGCGGTGCGGCTCCTGTTGCTGTGGCTGCTGAGTGGGCGGGGCGGGTGCCGCTGCTGCTGCTGCTGCCGCCACCGCCACTCGGCCATGTCAGCGGCCCGCGGCTGTGGCTGCAGCCCGGCCGAGCTGCATGCGACCGAGTGCCCGACTGGAGCAGCGAGCATGCGTCTTCTGAGCGACGGAGGGCACGGTCGCTAATACCAATAATAATAACAATAGAAACAAGAATACAGCAGCGGCAGCTAGGGGAGTAAGAAAAAATAAATAGGGAGCAGCAACAATAGCAACGGTGGTTTGGTTGGTGGTGGTGCAGTGGTATTGGTAAATATTGTGATGGTGGTAATACAGTGCAGGGGCTATTGTAGGGATTAATGCGCTAATAATGATAATGTGCTGATTACAATTAAAGTGTTAAATTAACGAGGGATCGGCACCACTAATTGTGACGAATTAACTTATTTTATTTGACTAAATGATAGCTGTATTTTTTACGGGAGGGCAGCCGATATAAAATGCAGTAAAATATTGTAGTGTTTTATTATAATACAGCGAAATCAATGATAAAATAAACAGTAAATTAATTAGTACGTAATACACATAGTATTGCTAATTTTTAATACAGGTACTAATAACATTCCGAATAGAGTGGCAGTCGTGAAAATTTTAAATAGTGATATATTGGTAATTCTATTAATACATAATAGCTCTATTTAAAATGCAATCATGGATATACTCATTACAGTAAACAGTCATAGTATACATTAAATATAATTACCTGGATCTAATTTATGGTATATACAATATAGCCCATAAATTTAGTAATAATAATTCATATTGTTACAAATTTTGTTATCTATTCCCAACCAATACAAAATCTCGTTTCAATCATATACTTTATTTTTTATTTTCCACCTCTGACGTGGTGACTGCTATTTATAATCCATTTGCAATTCTCATTGTTGTCTATTGTTATTGCGGCTAGCCTGGTAGAAATATATAACAGCAAACGAAAAATAGATTTCACCAACGTGGTTACACGAATCACCACCAATTCGGTTTAGTGGAAATCCCCAAAAAAAAACATTTAGCAAATTGCAATTTGTTTTATTCTCTCATTTTTCCTCCGGTTTTTTTTCTCGATACAGATACAGTGTGAGAGAGAGAGAGAGAGTAGCGATTTGCATGGTTTTGTAGCGGTGGGGTGCTCTTTATTTATCAATCTCCCTGCCTTGCTCCCCATCTAACACCGCGACCGACCGACCGACCGCTCATCGTCACCGGTGAAGACGACGAGGATAAGAGAAGCAAGAAGAGCAGGAGGAATAGGTTAGACCCGTAGCGCAATGGAAGGAGGAGGAGGAGACATCGCAGCAGCAGCAGCCGCCTTGGAGCAATGCGAGCTGCTGCAGAACATGATTGAGATCAGCCTCGCCAGCCTCGAGGGCTTGAGGACCAAGTGTGCCACCAGCAACGACCTCACGCAGAAGGAGATGCGGACCCTGGAGGTCAGTCGAGTCCGGTCGGTGTCACCGCCGTGTTTATTCTTTGTTGGTTCTATCGGTAAAGTCTCGTCGTTGTTGATGTTGCTGCCGTTCTTGTGTGCACGTCGTTTGAGCAGCAGCAGCAGCAAGGGTGCGTTTTGACAGCCGTCTTCTCAAAGTCTCGGGGTGCCATGGACCTTTGGAGATTGCTGGTGCAGCGAGGCAGGCACAGATCGCTTGCTGTTGACGTGCCACCTCCTTGTTTTCGATTGTGATTGTGTCGTCTTCCTTAGCGCTGGTGTGTGCCCGTACCCTGGGCACCTTGCTTCGTTCGATTCCTCTGGGGTCTGGGTGGCCCCACCTCGGGATGCGTTTGATATCTGGTCATGTGAAGAAAGCTGCAACAGCGGACGTGATTTGGTTTGGGGTGGACGTGACGTTCCCTACTATGGTGTTGTTTTTGTGACAGTCTAGGTGCACTTGGAAATGATGCCACGTTGGAATTGTGAAAGCAACTTAACACCTGTGGGGGTTATGCTGCAGACACAGGCGTTATAAGGCGAGATCATTATTGTTGGTAGGCGAAGGTGACTTGGCAGATGTACTACCTGAACTCGCCACTGTGTAACATGTGTAACATGCTAACCCTTTAAACACGGAGGTATACGTTGGCAAACGGCTGAACATTAATAACCAGGTGCCAAGTTGGCTTTTCTAGCCTCCCAATGGGCCTCCCCAAGGTCAACTCAAACATAAATGAGTTCCTTCTGCAGTGTGTGGTCATATAAATCCGTCACTGGGGGAATGGAGGTGGGTGGATTTGTGCGATGGATGGACATGCCACCAGCTTTGTTTTGTCATCAAGGCCTTAACAGGTGCTAATAAGACTCTCCAAAAGATGTGTAGGCCTTTGTGTCAACCTGGCTTTGGCCTGGCAGCAGTTTTCTGCCAGAAAGCATGGTGAGTCCCACCACCAGGCAGTGTTGTTCATGCGGCGGTCGACCTTGTATCTGTAGATATACGGGCACATCCACTGTGTTCTCCCACTCAAATTCCCACCCGTTGACCCCATCATTGTTCGTTTAACGCAGATTATTTTTTATTTCATACATCACGCCAACATAAGGAATCGAGTCTAATACATGAAGATGAACAGTACTGTGTTCGATAAAGAGAGTGAACGTTACAAATTGAGTTGAGAATTTTTTTTTCAACATTCTAATAAACACGCCGGGTTCAATTGACATGTTGGCAGAATTTTATTTAGGCATGCTGGGTCAGTCCATCTTGGTGTAACCAATGGATCAAGGGACACGTGTTCTTCTTTAGTCTAGTGCCCAATGGCAGGTCTTTAGCTCAAACTCTTTCTGTTCTGTACGATCTTGAGCAGCCTTCATTTTACTCGATGTAAAAATGAAGTCGTCAAGCAGCATTTTAGTTTTAATCTACTTGGCCTCAACATGATAATAGGGTTTTCCCCTTTCTGGCAATAAAACAGGGGTTAAGATGTTAAAACATCAAACTGAAACCTTTGCAAGGAATCATGTCTGCATTAACCACATATACACGTGGTGAAAATGCAAACAAAAAAAACATGCTCTGACAATATGTGCATTGTCACCACACGCATATGTGGTTAATGTAGACGTGATACCTTGCAAAGGTTTCAGTTTGGTGTTTTAATATCTTAACACCTGTTTTATTGCCAGAAAGGGGAAAAAAACCCTATTATAATTTAATACTGGCAAAGGAGGTCTCATGATATTGGCCTCAACATCTTTCCAGAACTTCGTCTGTCAAGCTTTCACCTCTGAGAATGTGTCCAATCCACACATTTAGCTTTTTCTGGATTAATCACATGGGACATTTCTCCTCCGTAACCTCGTCCAGACCTTCCCCCTTATGCTTTTTTTACCCAACTAATTTTCTCGATTCGACCCCATACCCATATTTCAAAACTTTCTCCTCTTCATGGAGCTATCAACCAGGCTTCCGTCATCTTATGAATCGCAATGGGTATCCACTTGCCAAGCATGGTAGTGCTTACCTATTACTTTGGAGCCAGGGTTGGTGAATTGTACCAACATAATTTGGCAGATACTCACCTGTAGGCCTGCAGGTAAATCAGTGGATGGCATCACAGTGGGTTGAATGTCGATTTGGATTTTTAGGTGTTTTCCTATTGTAAACATTGCTTTTCTGGGTACTCTGTATTTCTCTGACATGCAAAAAATACTCATTGGGGAATTGGTCAAACATTCCATGCAGACCCCTCCTGCTAAAATCGTATAATTCCATTAGGCTAAGGACGTACAAGCGAAGAGTTTGTGCAGTTTTATGAATGTGTAGCATTTTACTAATTTTAGTTATAAATTTACAATGCAAAGCATGCCCTTGGTGCAATAAATTAGCCTTTCATCGGTAAGTTTTCTTCAGGACAGTATGTGCAATTTTTCAATTTGAATGCATCATTTTTTCTCAGGAATCTCTTTTTCCAGACAATCCACCAAGGCCCTTTCCTAAAGGGAAATGCAGTTTAGTATTGTACATAGTAAAAGAGTACACTGGCAAAGCACATTGCACAATTTATTGCAAATGGTTGCGTACAATATCGTTTTAACACGACCCATCGGCACCATTTTTAGTACAATGCCCACTTGTATTGTATACTATGCTTTATTGAAATATTAAGATACAGGAGCTCAAAAGCCAAATAAAATTTAATGGTATATATATTATGTTGGCAAGGGCAATTATAATAATGTATGATAATTGGTTCTTTACCCTTCTATCTGGCAACAAAACTGACACCTTTTTGCAAGGAGTCATGTTTGCATAGACCGCAATACCTGCAGTCATAAATACAGGTATTGCGGTCTATGCAAACATGACTCCTTGCAAAAAGGTGTCAGTTTTGTTGCCAGATAGAAGGGTAAAGAACCAATTATCATATTTTTACTGGCAAATGAGGTCCCCATAGTGTAGAGTATAATAATGTAATTCACATAGGTGAATAGCTTAATATTTTGGCCATCATGAATGTTTTAATTAAATTGATACTCATATTTAAGAGGAAAAGATGCTGATGAGAAGAAATTCACGATTTTCAAAGTAGCACACATACTGGCAATTAATGGTCTACAATGGACACCAAGCAGGCTTGAAATTAGGAAATTTTATCGGTTCAAAAATATACCTGCTTTGAGTTTTGCCTGAAATCCATAATTTAACATTTTTTTCAATATTACATCATTAGATCATCAGAGCTTGTAGAGCATCCGAGGTCAACATCAAGTCCATACAGTATATTGACTTTTCAATCGTTTTACTTACATTTACATGAAGAAGATCTTCCTCTACACTTTAGGTTTTAATTTTATCTCATGGTGCCATAGTTTTTAAACAAATAAATAAATCCAATTTCTATACTTACTTATATTTCCTGATGTCACAGGTCCCTCTTATTCCAGGCTTTATTAGAAATTAATTACGAGTAAAATTAGTAGGTAACACATTTACTTATTAAAATGCAGTATGTAACAAATCTGTTTATGAAGCACATTAATATTGCCATGCAGTATCGAATGTTTTCTTCCAGATTTGTCCAGATATGCAATGTATAGCACTGTACTGTACAGAATATTACGTGTGTGTTACTATTTGTGTTTTCACGTTTTTATCGCTTGGATTTGAATGCGGTGCTTTTATTTACCTTAATGCAGTACGTTTCCATGTAAGGTCCTCAGACCTTGTTATTACTGGCCTACTATAAAAACTGGGATTGGTATACTTTTGTATTTTCAGTGTGACCAAGACCTCTTTTTTTCTTTCCCCGTCCCAGTGATTGAAGATTATTTGTAAGCAAGCATTTTTTTTTGCTTATTTTGTGCTCACCCTACTGACTTGCCTAATCGTATGGTTAGTTCATTGTCATTCCATAAAAAAAATTACTGCAAGAAGAGTTAAGTTATACCAATTCAATTCGCCATTGAAAATACGAGCTCATTATAGCTTTACCCTAAATAAGCTGACTTGAACGACTGGCAGTTGGGCTGTGTTGAGAGTCAATTTTAATAACTCGTTTAAAATAAAGGCAGCAAAGCATGAATTCTGCAATGGTGATAATGTTTCGGCAAATGTTGCTTTGTAGGAAAAATACACTTTATGAATGTACACAGTACGCACTGGTCTTTCCAAGCTCCTAATACCACTGGCTGGAAAGGGTTTATCTTTGGAATTATCCTTTTTCCCTTTGTCGAGAGCAAATTATAGAAGCTATTGAAAGCAACTGTCAGTGTAGCAATCTCCGATAAAGCAGCAATTTGCTATTGCTTTTGAGTTTATTACGCAAGAGCGTTTGCAGTAAAACAATGTGCCGTGTGCAATGAACTTTACAGAGCAGGCTTCAATTACCCTACTTAGCACGAGAGGGCGCCTTCAATGCAATTTCAGTACTGTACTGTATAGTATTCATATGAGGTACATGGTAGATATGTGGTCAGGTACAGTTTACAGTGCAGAAATTGTAATTACAAGCAGCTTTAACCGAAATTACAATTACCGTGGGTGGCAAATCATTACACGTTACACAATTGCAATTGGTCCAAGGTCTGGTGCATGAAACCCATTGTCTTCTAGTTCCAGTACAATGGTTGTTTGGGTATCAGCTGCTGATTTCGTTATTTTTACATTCACTTGTACTGTATTAATGTAATGTCAATTAAATGAACATGTGTCCCTCGGTTGCTAATTCTGTAGCTCAAATTTCAGAAGTGATTATTACAAATTAAAACAAATATAAATGTTTATAACCTTTTGGGTAAATTCCATGAACCCATTGTGAATTAAGTTTTTTGGATTTCCTCTTACCTGGTTAAATACAGACCGGTAGTTAACATAAATTTAGCAAATAACAATCTTGTGTGCATGGCCGATGCTACGTGTGACATGAAAGAAGTTCAATATACATACAAGTCATGGACCGCCTATAAAACCACGTCTACCTAGAATATGGAGCAATGAAA